ACACCCACTTTATGGTGTATATCTGTTGTTCCCCTCTGGGAGGAGGTTTCAAAGTGTTTCTGTAACAGCTTTGTTCTGTATGCCATCTATCTGGTAAAGTCACAAGATTCATTTTTCTTGCCATGTACATGTACAGTATACATCCATCCTGTGTTGTTTCTCTGTGTCATATAATATATGTGGGTTTGTGGATATATACATAATTTTGTATTTATTTATTTATTTTGTCAGGTTTATGTAATGTATATTGGAGGTGTATGCCATGAAATTTCAGCTGTATGCAATGAAATTTCATTTTAATGTATGTCGATTAGTGTACATTTAAAGTGATAATAAAGTTATTCTAAGTCTAAGGCTTCTCCAAATAAAATGTGGGTACTACAACACACTTGTGCAGTCTCCCCTAACTTAACCCATAGAAGCTATGTGTTTGCAACCAAATGTAATTGGAAAAAAGAGAGAGGATCCACGCTAGATAGATCATGAATTGGGAAGACTTGGATTCTAATATCACCTGAGTTCAAAATTATGTTTGCAAGTCTTGATCAGACAATCCCATTAATCAAGTCAGAACTAGGAGTTAGCATGTTGTGAGACCAGCTAAACACAAGGGTGGGCGGTGGAAGGGGGCTAATTAATGAAGTTATTGTGAACTGTAGCTCACAGATGCATATATATATATATACCTTTTAATAAGATTTTTAATAAGATACTACCGTATTCCATGATTTTAGGCTCCTAAGTGGTTTGAAAGAGACAGCTTGATGTCAAGTGACTTACCTGAATTGATTTTGCAATGAGGTCCATAATGGAAGCAAGGAACTTATAGTTCACTTGTTATGACACTTTGGAAAAAGAGCTCCTGGCATTGGACAGAAAAGAGGGAGACTTGACAGCTCGTATTTATATCTCCAGGTTTTTTACCCACTGTCTTCAAATGACTTACAAAAATCAAAAAGATTAGTGCTGGAATATGTAATAAGTAATTTCTTATTCCACAGTTGACATTCTGGCTCATAGGTAAGGACAATGGACGGAATATTGTAGCCAATGCAATACCAGGTTTGGATCCTTCACACAGCTGGACTAATATTTCAGAATAATTTATATAAAACAAGATATTTAAAATTATGTATTCATAATGAACACCAACAGAACCTGAAGGTTACATCTAGAATTTTCATATTATATAACAAAAATTAGCACTTTGGCCAAGTGTGGTGGCCCGGAGATGGTCTCCCTCCCCCACCGTCAACCTTACCTTCCAGCCCATGGGGATTGCACTGCTCTGCGCACCGTGGCTGCCCAATATGAAAAATAGAAAAGAATAGAATAGAATTCCTTATTGGTCAAGTGTGATTGAAGACACAAGGAATTTGTCTTGGTGCAAATGCTCTCAATATACATAAAAGAAAAGATACATTTGTCAAGAGTCAAGAATCTTAATAGTCTTAGGGTACATTAAGCAATCAAATCATACTAGGAAACAGTCAATACAGATCGTAAGGATACAATCTCTGTAATTTTGATATTGCACACAAACAAATTCATTGCTTGTAATATGAACAAGCTTTTATATATTCAGGCGATGAGTGGCTGGGAGGGGAGGGGGGAAGGGAAGGGCCAGCCAGTGGTGGGATTGGCCAGTTTGCTGAACTGCAGAATGAATTAGCTATTGGTTCAGCTGAACCAGTGTGAACCGGAGGAATCCACCACTGAGAATGCAGTACTGCAGGATAACTCTACCCATAGCCAGGAGTTTGATTCTGACCAGCTCAAGGTTGACTCAGCTTTCCATCCTTCTGAGGTCAGTAAAATGAGGACTCAAATTGTGGAGTGTAATATGCTGACATTTGTAAACTGCTCACAGAGTACTGTAAAGGACTATGTAATTGAATATAAGTCTAAATGCTGTGCTATTGTTATGGCTCTTACAGTTGCATGGTTTCCATTTAAAAACAAGTAAGACAAGAACTGATTGTGAGGAACATGGGTTTGAGCAGCTTGTTATGCTGAATGCATGGTGTGCAGCTGCTTGTTATTTTTCTTTAATTACCAATATGGGCTAATTAAATCTCATAGCTGTGCTGGTGTATTTGGGTGTATGGATATAAGGGTGATTTCATCCCAGTCACAGCAAGGAATAAGCCTCCTTTTCCTCATTGTCTGTGGTCCCATTAGCAGTTGAATTGCACAGCACTAACAGTTGTATGCTGTGCTTTCTGCATAATGTGCAGTTTGTCCCTTAGGCAGGATCCTACTTTGTTTCTGCTCCCCCTCCCTTTTTTGTGGCTAGTGTTCTGTGGTAAATCACTGAGAAAAATGAGTCAGTTATTATTCTCCCAAACTCTTAGCTAAACATTTAACTTCTTTTTTTACCTCTCAACTCTTTCCCTGAGGGGGAGACAGGAAGGGAGGTAGCTCAGCTGTTGTTGTCTCAATTACATCAGATATTTCTGTAGTTAATTATAAACATTTACATTATTCTGGGGGAACCCCTCTGGATTTGCATTTCCTTTATACTTAGTTCAAACTATGTTCTGATTTATTTATTTGTTCAGGGGAAAAAAAGGACTTTTTTTGGTCCTTAACAGACTAATATTTTTTTTGAGGATCAATTGGGTAGAAGCAGGGAATAGGGTTTGTATATTTGAATACAACTAAGTGACCCTAACTAGTGGTTATTTAAAACCTGCTTTAAACATATAGATAAATTTACAATGTATGAATATATGATTGGATATATTGAATTGAATGAGAATTACTTGACAGCAAAGCTGTCTTGTTTCTTTAACTGCATAATTTAATTTTTTTTTTATAAAGGACTTGAATGTGAATTATTTATATGTGTATCCCTTTTACATAGGAATATAGAACAATGTCATCTCACATTTCATTGGTAGCAAAGTTAGATATTGTACTCCCACTGACTTCAGAGGAAGGCAAATGTTACTGTCAAGTAAAATCTTTTTGTGTTTTTTTTTTGTTGTTGATCAAAAATTCACATAAAGGGGACTAAAAAGATGCATCATCCTAAAAATAGTGTACAAATAGCAATATAGTTTTCAATGAAAGAACTTGGGTGGAGGGATTTGCATTCTGAAAATTTTTATCAAGGACGTTTACATATCAGACAATTTAAAAGGTAATTGTATTAAAATTTCTTCTATAGTAATTTGCATCATTAAAAATAAAGCACAGAAAACCAATATACAGTATGTTATTGTGAGCATATGTTGCTATGAATTTTTTTGAGAGTTTTAAAAATTAAGTTTAGTTTAGTTTACTTGATTGTCATTGCACCCCGTACAACAAAATCAAACACCAGCTTCAGTGCACATCATGACCATGACCATGAAAATAAACACAAACAGACATCCTTCACCCTTCACACATTGAACTGGAAACCCCCGACACCACACCAACACTACACTATACAGCAGAATTCAAAAGAGCTACTGCCCTGGGATAGAAGCTGTTTTTCAGCCTATTTGTCCTTGTTTTTGTTATTCTGTACCGTCTGCAAGATGGTAATAGTTCAAAAAAGGATTCCTAGGATGAGATGGATCTTTGAGAATGTTTTGAACTTTCTTAAGGCAGCAGGAGCTATAAAGCTGTTCCAAAGAGGGGCGAGGGCAACCAATGATCTTCTGGGCAATGACATTAACCCTCTGGTGTTAATGTCCTATCTGCCACTGTGCAATTGGCAAACCATACAGAGGTGCAGTATGTTAAAATGCTCTCTATGGTGCAGCAGTAGAAGGTCACCAGCAGTTTCTCATTCATTTGTTGTTTTCTGAGAAGCCTCAGGTAGTATAATCTCTGCTGGGCCCTTTTGATGAGGGCTGCAATGTGGGCATCCCAGGTCAGGTCCTCTTTTAGGGTAACACCCAGAAACTTAAAAGTGGCCACTTGCTCCACTCAGTCTCCATTGATAAGCAAGGGCTGGATGTCTGATCTGTAGGAAATACAAAAGCAAACTGGTTACTACAGTACTGTTAGAGACAATAGAACATTTTTTAAAAGCTATTTGGCATCCATACTGACTGAAGCTATTCATTTAATTTTAAAATCTTTGGGTAAATTCACACCTTTATTTTCCAGTGATAAGATCTCATTTATTATGTGTGCATAAGGGAACTAGTTCTGAAATTCTGATAATACAAGGTTATAAGTAGAATTACTCCTTACTCCATCATGTATCTGAATGTTGATTTGAAAAATCTGAACGTGCAAAAGGATCAGAAAAAATCAAATGATCTCAGCGTCTCCAGACTTAAGGAATATTAGTGCCAATTGAACAGACTGCAATAATGTAAGAGATTGTAAAAAAGAAAACCTAGTAATCAAATTGACTGTGGGGAGTGATAAATTATGAGCAGTAATTCAGACAGCACACCATGGATTACAAGTGTGATAGTATTTGGAATGCCTGCAAAAGTCTTAAGTCCATCATTGTGTGCTAAATTTTAGAACTGCATTATATACATATGCTCTTGAAAATCCTTAATGCATTTTCTTGTTTTGAGGGATTCTGATAAGGCCAAATTCAGATTGTGTAGAGGCTGGTGAATACTCTTGGCTGATGAATAGTCAAATGCTCTTACAGATGCCATTAGATCTAGACATCTAGATACAAATAGACATTTGTGAGTCTGGAGGTATTGGGGGCAAGGGATGTACATATCCTCTTGCATCACACTATTACTCTTTGCCTAAATAGGACTAACATCAAAGTTCTTTAAAAGTAACACATTATCTCTTAGTTATTCAGGGAATGCTCCCAGGTCAATAAATATAGGTTCGCAGACTGTATATAAAGAAATCTGTATAGAAAAACAGGCAAAAATTGGATGGGGGTTCTGAGAGGGTAAGAATTATATTTTTAAAGGGGTTGAAAAGATGCTAGCATAAAAAAAAATCCAAATGCATTAACATACATAGCACTTTTTTTCCTTTTTAGAACTGAACCACTAATTAATTTGTTTTCTTTCTTACAGCGGGAACAACATACATATTTAGCAAAGGTGGTGGACAGATTACATATACCTGGCCTCCTAATGATCGGCCCAGCACCCGAGCAGATAGACTGGCCATAGGGTTTAGCACAGTTCAAAAAGAAGCCATCTTGGTGCGCGTGGATAGCTCGACTGGGCTTGGTGATTATTTAGAGCTGCACATCGTAAGTACCGTCAGCAAAATGTAATGCTACTATTTGTCTGAAAGCTTCGATTTTAGCTTTTGCAATGGCTATTACGGTATTGTCCATTTCTGAAATTGATCTTCTACCATTGAATAATATTTTTTCCAAAGCAATTTGATGATTTATAAATTTCAGTCTCAATTTTGGAAGGGATGTTGGCATTAAGAGACTAGCCCTGTTGGTTAATAACAAAATACAAGAGTTTAAAACAGTTTGAATGAGCTGACTTCAGGGTAATTTTAAAAGGCTGCAGATTTGATTATGAATTGTTTTCATAAAATAAGATTCTCTTTGACCTATTGCAATTTTCTGTGAGATATGAAACTATATATTAAATTGTGAATATGGTGCATGATTATGATTCTGACATCCTGGGAGCAATGCAATCATTTTCATTATTTTGTGCATTAAGTGCACATTAAAAATCTCACAATTGTACCATATGTCACCAAATCTAACATGGAAATAATAGGGGTAACTTTTGAATTATTATTTTGTGTTGCTTTTTAATTAATAATATAAAGGTAAAAGAAATATGACAAAGAAAAAAGCCTATAGTATAAAAAATCATTCCAGCAATTAAAAAAAAATCAATTTTACATATACTCATACAATGTATAACAACAACAACAACAGTGATGATGATGGTAATCAAATACATATATGTTTCTCTGATATAATTAATATATTTTAACCTATTGTATTTTGTGTGAATGAGTCCCATATTTCATTATACTTGTCTATACAAAGTCTATGTCTATAAACAGTCAGCTCAGAGGTGGAAAGTGCAATCAGGTAACAATATGAGGTAATTTAAATATTGTAGAGCGAGCCAGTTTGGTATAGTGGTTAAAGCAGGAAGGAAGAACTGGCAAAACACTTCTGAAAAGCCTTGCAAAGAGAAATGCAGGAGTCTAGTCTCTGAGAATTGAACACAATTGAATTGGGGGAGGCGGCAAACTTCCAGTGTATTTGTTAAGTTCGGATAATGAGAGGCTGAACCAGGGCATGGGTGCAACAATACTTTATTAGGATAATAAAGGACTGAACGTGCTTGCCAAGCCTGGAACTGGCTCGCAGCGATCAGCGACTGGTCGGACCCCGCAGCCTGCTTTTATAGCTGGCTGCTGGGGAGAACCAGCCAATGAGAGGGAGGGCAGTCGCCCCCGCAGCACAGACGGACCTGGGTGGGAACTTCTTTAAGTTCCAGGGACATAACAGTATTGTTGAGGTTTCTATGCAAGGCTAATGTGTTCTGTGGAATCCAGGTACCATAATTAGAAATCCTAGCCCATTTGTTCCCTGAATATGCCCAGAAGACTGTGATGTGATTGAAAGACTTCTCTATTTTCCATATTATGTCTAAAAAGGAATGTGGAGAAGCTCATGTCCTGAATGTTGTGGTTTTTGGAATGTCTGGACCATAAAGAGTTAAGACCAATTTCATTTTGAATTGAATTGGAATTTGTAGGGTCCAAAGTGGATGCATGGGCTAGGAGTAATGCAAAAATTTGAATATCCAAACTATCCATTGTTAGAGCTGTCTACTTCATTGGTCTCAATTGTAGTAATATATTGTAGTTCAGTGGTATGAATGTCAGGAAAAGATGTATTGGTATTAGCAAATTTGTAAAAGAATCTGTCAGAGGAATTGTAATGGTCCTATTTGGGTGGATATCCTGACAAGAGCTGAGTGATCCCATCATTACTGTGAGGTGATAAATTCTGAATAGAAAACAGTTGGTACCCTGAAAGGTCTAGTAGGGTAATTTAAAGTTGCCTTAGAGCAAACAAATAGCAATCAGCATGGAAAATGTCTGGATTTTTATGGCATAATAAATAAATCATCAGTTGAGATAAACTTAAGTATGGCAACTGAGCATTTTAGCAGTTTAGATTAATCTCAACTTTCTTGATATATTAAGTTTGAGTCAGATTTAACAGCAAGCTTGCTACTTCACTGAAGAAGAAATAACTCCTCTGGCAAAAAATCAGTTATTGATCTATTAGCAATATACACTCAGGGGTGGGATTCAGGTGGTATGGACCAGTTCAGGTGAACTAGTAGTTCCAGCAATGAGTTGGCCCCACCCACCCACTCCTGCACTAACGTGTTTCTCCAACAATATGCCCCCCCAATAGGAAGCAGCGGCGGGAACTGTGGAAGTGTTTCAGCTGCTCCTCGGGTGGGGGAGCCGCCTCCGTAACTTCCATAGTTCCCGCCGCTGCTGCCGCTGTTGTTGGAGACTGTGCTGGCGAGAGAGGGACAGCTGCAGCTCAGCCTGGGCTCTTGGAATGCAGGAACGGGCTGCGCACCGGGACTTTTGCAAACTTGCAGAGCCCGAGGCTGGAGCACCAAGGGTAGCAGCAGCAGAGATGCTTGCTCGGCTTTCTCACGCCCATCCAGCCGTTTGGGATTAAACCAAAATGCAGCATGCAGCACTCCCAGGTACCTCAAAATCTTTTTTTTCCTGTTGTTACGGGGATGGGGGAAGAGCAAGAGTGACTCAGATGCTGTTTCTGGAGCTGGTGCTGGTGCATGGGGGGGCGGGAGAAATTAATTCACCCCCCCAAAAGACGTCCTAGCCATTTTTGAGGGGCTCAAAAAAAATAAGACCTGGCATTATTATATGAGAAACACGGTAATCTGTCATACAGTATATTTCTTTTTTTAAAAAAAAACAAATTTTATTGATTTTACAAAACAATATACAAACAAACAAAACATAAAATATGATGACATAAGAAATCTTTTTCTAAAAAAAACCAATACAACATCTTATTTAAAGACAGAATTATTCCAAGTTATCACATTTCCATACAAACACAATTTAGTATATATATTTACCTTATCTGTTCATCTTCATATCTTATCCCGAACTTCTCTTTATTACTCCCTTTCCTTCTATTTATTCAAGTTATATCTCTTTAACTTTAGATTGTATACATTTTTTATATCCATCTGTCTTATACAATTTCATTATTCTCTTCCAATACAAAAACAGACAAGACATAAAACATAAAAACATAAAACATCTTTTCTGAAAGTTGCTTGATCCCGGGTTAAAACTCATCGTACAGACACCACTTCAAAAATCATGTTCCTTTTATATATCATTCCATATCTTATTACCGTTTTCCATTTTCTATATAGCTTCTTCCTTTTTTTAACTCTCTTAGTTTTATTCCACTTATCTCAGTTCAAATCATAATACTTGTCATTCTTTGTCTGTTCTTAACTATCCATTCATCTTTTCTCTTTAAACAAAACCTCTCCTGTACTATGGACTATGACGCCTTTAACTCTTTCCCCTACCTAATAATACTTAATATCACACATAACTTGTATTGGGATTCTGTTTAGCACATCCTAAAGTTACACAATATATTATATATAGAGAGAGAGAGAAAAAGAAAGAACAACAATAACAAAGGAACAAATTTATAAATATATAATGTAACTAGTACCCCTGTCAATACCATTTTAATCATACATATTAATACTCATTTATATCTTAAACATTTTATTCTAAAAACGCCTATAATAACACAATCTTATGTACCTTACAGAATCCCTTTTTCAATTAGATTTACCCATTGTCTCTAAATGAATTTTGTTTCTTTAAATCTTGCTTCCCATCATTGAGACTTCTCACCCCTTCCTTTCTCCCTTGCTTACTCTTTTCCTTACCCTTTTTACCCCTTTGTCTCTCCACCTTCCTTTTCTTCTTCTGCTTTCCTCCTTTCTGTTGTTTTCTAACCTTATATCCACCTTTCAACTCATTTTTATCTTTTTTGGTTGTTTTTTTAGGTTTTAAAATCCCTTTTTTCTTTTCCTCTTTCTTCTCCTCCCCAAATAGGATCACATGTTCATCAAAGATGGTTTCTTCTTTGTCCCAATTATCCTGCTGCACAATCAATTCTCCATAGGAACGTACTGCCATTTCTAGAGATTGAAAAAGAATGTCCAAAGTATCTTTCCAGTCTTATTCTTCCTTTTTATATTTTTGATATTCAGTTTTGGATTCATCCAAGGATGATGCCATTATAAAGAGGAAAAAAATTTCCCAAAACAACCACCCGAGTGTTTTTAAACAAAGAAAAAAGATTTCCCAAAAGATCCAAAGTCACTAAACAATCCAGATAGACTATTTCTTTTAGCACTTTTTCCCTTCTTCCATTTCTTTTTCTGGGGTTGCTATTAAATCACAAAATTCCAATTGAAATATGTCTTTTTGAAGTCTTATTAATGTTCAAATGGCTCTTTAAAATTCTAGGCAGTCTGCTCCTTAATTTCAAATTCTACTTCAATTTTTTTCCTCTCCCTTCCCACTCACAGCAAAAGAAAATTTTTTCTTTAAATATTTAGAAATCCATATCCCTTTGGCATTAGCATAGTCTTTAGCATTTAGCATACCTTCAATGCGGGTTTTCCGATTTCTCTCAAAGCTGTTCCGTTTGGAAGGAGAGTGAAAAGAAAAAAAGTTTTCTCTTTAATATCCATTCGCTGCTTACTCAGTCTAGGAACAGTGTGTCTTTAATAAGTGTTAAATATCAGGATACTTTCACTGTTCCTTTGTCCCGGTCAGCAAAGATCACTTTCACTTCTTCACAAGCTCCTCCAGCACTTTCTTTTTCCGGCTGAGCTCTTCTATGTGGCGGCCATTACAGACTGCCGCTCAGCTGCCTTCGGAGAGGGAGATTTAGCTGGCTAGGGAAGAGAGATGCGGTGTCTCTCGTCCCTGCCAGAGCCCCCCAGTCTTCACCACCTTCTGCAAAGGTGGCTTAGCCCCGAAGCCAAATGGCTCGGGGCACTCAGGCAGTGAACACAGGCAGGGACCGCGCACAGTCGCGGATTTCTGCGTGCACCGAAGCACCACAAACCGGAAGTCCCCATACAGTATATTTCTTTTGTTTGAAGCCCAGCTGAAAGATGCAGCAGAGTAGATTGCCACGCCTCAGCTGTTTTACTCATCGGG